ATAGTCCAAATTGTTAATTTATTAGGCCGGCCCTCGGGGTGGTTATTATATATTCAATTATAAACGACGAATCTCAACCTTGTCGCGAGATAAAGACGACTCGACACTTTTTAAATTCATAACTTCTAAGACAGGGACTCTGCTGAATTACCATTGGAGAGAGAGTAGCGAGAATATTAAATAGCCACCTAAAATAAATTAGAGCGACTTTCAGTTTTCTTCATTTATTTACATTGATATATAACATTAAAGTATTTATTGTGATTTCTTTAAAGAAGTGTACCTACTTCTTTAAAAAAACGATGCATCCACCGGCTCCTGCAAGACAATTGAGGTAGGTAGGTACTCTCTCTATTAGACGGAGGTCGCCATACATGACGCTTACTTATACAGGTCGCCTGTGGAAAACCTTCATAAGAATAAGATTATACAAAAATTTTAATGCTCAGATACTATTTTCAGTTTGATGCGGTCATTATTTAGATATACGTATAGTTAGTAAATCGGGAACTCAATAAAAATAAAGCTCAGATACTAATTACTAGGTTAATTAGCCATCACCAATATTCATCTACAGATGTGAATTTAGTAATCATGAGTGTGTAATATTATACTGCAGTTTACTAATGGAAATTTTAAAACATTTAATCTATACAAGGAAATAAAAAAATAAAGATACTGAGAACTGAACTAAATGAATTCAACAGGTACCTAAGTATAAAATAATAACATGCTATAGAGTAGATGGTATTAAAATATTGCAGTTAATTAAAGCAAATTGACAATAAGAGAATTATGGTCAAATAAATAAAAAAAACTGAAATTGATTATCGACGTGCGTGCTATAGCACTTCACACACTTTTTAACGGCGCAGGTTCTTTCCTCACACAATACATATTTTTGTATTTCGTATTATATTATATTTTTGAATTTTAAATTAAAATAGATCACTATGCAACATTTTTAAATATTTATTCTTATTTAATTTAGCATCAGTTTAAATGTTTGACCATTAGTTCCAACACCTAAACTAACAGTTTCTTAATAGGTACCTACTAACTATACAAGTGTAATTATGCACATTTATGTGCCTACGTACAAAATTTTCAATAAAAGCTTACCAAGCCAAAACTAAACGGCATTGTTTGTTAGTGATTAAAAGCCAAAATCAAGCCGTTATCGTCTCGTTATACAGAACAATATCAAACAAGAGCAAATCGATTGTAAAGACAAAACATTGTTACAGATTGTTAACGCATATTGCTCGTTACCGCGGTGCTATTTATTTTCGAGTGGCAACACCAAAGTGTCCATAGACAAAAAACACACTTCAACTGTTGTTTTTATTGACAACAATGCGTCCCAACACTGCAACTTTAAGAGTGATGTTGAAGTATAAACGCACTTACTTTTCGCGACATCGCAGGGGTCGGCGAACGGTTCTATATTTTCATTGTATGCTTTTAATTTTGAGTGCGCGAACTAGCTCGCTCTCCCGGGACGAATGTTTGCCAGGGTAATATTTGCTTCCGTTGTATAATTCAACCGGCCGCCATATTTGCCAAAGAGCAATCATTTTAATATCGTCAGCCATCACATTAGGGCCGAGTGGGAATTTCGTTTTATTAGATGCGATTCATTTTGCAAATTTAATTTTCGCTCTACTATTATACAAGTTATTAATTAAAATTTATACTGGTAGAACATGTAGGTACTGCTTTATTCATGTCTCTAGTAAAAATCTGGACCAAATAATCGATATCAATATATAATAGCTAACGCTATAGATTATCTATATCCATTGCTATTCTATGAATATATCTATGACAAACAGCACTACGTTTCCTATTATAAAAGATTTTCTATTATAATTCTCCTACTAATTACTGAAAATCTATATAGTCAGCAGAGGTGGATTAATAACGTTTATTAAATGTATTAATAGTACTACTTATTACTAAAATTGTCAAATTTCAGAGCACATAAAAACATAAAAGTACACGTACTCAACAATATCTATAAATAATTCGTTTTATAAAGTAGGTTTTCATATTATTAATTAGTTTATCTAGGTAATAGGAAAAATATGTTTACGAAATACAATTAATAATTATTATTTTAATACTAAATAATTCACACATCGTCATCTAGTCCGAAGCTAAGCAAAGTTCGTATTAAAAATCTGATATAAATACTTACATTACAATACATTTTTTATAAGTATTAACATAATATACATAGATAACACCCAGACCCCTACAAACGATCATTCTCATGAATACAAACATTTGCATCGTGCGAAGAATCGAACCCGCTATCATGTGCTAAACCGCTAGACCACCAAGACCGTCGCATTATCACCTCCTTTGATCATTATTCTGTGGCAATACTTATAATAATATGTCACAGGTTTTTATGGAATTAATTTTTAATTATAGCAATATTATGTTATCTGTGATTATAGTAATGTGATTGATAAAAAAATATACTTAATAAAATAATAATTTTTACATCATGAACAACGTTTTGTTTCATACAGTCCATTTTCAATTCCATATTTAATTAAAATGTATACCTAATTCAAACAGTTACGAAAATATTTACTTAGATTCTGATAGACTACAAATTTGCATTCAAATTGGGTTATTTGTACTTACTCGTGATATACTTAGGCATTTTTATACTATTTATTAACGATATATATCATATCTTTTTATGTAATTGGAATGGTAAATAAGCTGACTGCCCACCTGATGCTAAGCGATCCTCGTTGCCTATATAAGTACATGAACATCACTAACATCATATCATGTGACAATATCACCACCACTCATGCATTTCCATTCCATAGGATTCAAATATCATGCCTCCTATCATGAATTTTCACAACCTACTCGCACTCTACAAACGAAACAGCTTACAAAAAGCAAGTTTCTTAGCGCCTAAAATAGGTGTGACTGAAGTACCTACCCACAGTCTACGACTGCTGAATTGTGGAACAAGGTCAAATGATAATAGTCATCATTTTACTGTATTTATGTTAATTATTATTATAATCATCATTATCGACATTTGACATGAACGGGGTTCTCGTAGAATAAACTTAACTATCTAGTTTTGGTCAAATGCAATATACTTAAGACAAACAGCGCCACCTGTTATCTACTAGTTATACTACGAATATAGACTGATTTCCGATATGGTGCTGCCATCTCTTGATTTTAGAATGCATTATTATATAAGTGTAACAAGCCGTGATTTTAATTATTTTATAACTGACTTTTTTTTGTAATTAAGGCACTTATTACGGGCACTGTTAGAAGTATAGTAATATGTATTTGTACTTGCAATTTGTAATTGCGTAGGTACACAAAAACATCGACAGTTCGACAAACCATATGGTATAACAGGCGTGAAGATGGTACGCTCGCCCACTGCCGAACTACTACCACATCCCGGATTCAAATTTGCTTATAAATATAACTACTGGAATTATTACTGAGATATTTTAACCCGCAAGATATTTTACAGCAAGATATTTTACGCAAGTTACAGCGTAGTAGATATACATTGCATAAAAACTTCTTGAATTGTTCAATTGTAGAACAGAATGACAAATTATAACCCGGTAAATCTCTTTTTAAATCAAATAATTAACAATTTGACATGCAGATACACAAAAGTTGGTCTGGTCTTTAATTTGTTGTTGCTATTTCGCATTTATATTCACACAAAATCTTGAATATGTATTGTATTGGCAACATTTAGTCTAAAGAGCAACACGCAAGTTACTTGCTCGTTTTTTTGTGTTGAGTCTGCTTTCCGAATGAACGGTAGAATAAAAAAATATTACATACAATAAATAAAGAATAAATCTATTAAAAAAAAAGCGACGAATAATAATACACCAGTTAATATGTATAAATATTTATTGCTAAAAATTGTTAAAATTACATAATATTAATTTAAAACGACACACCATCAAATAAATCTTTATGATTCTTATCTTAAGATTCCTTATGCAATTGTTAGTAAATTACAACATTAAACTATTATAACACTTTACTATATTTAGTAGAAATTGTTTATGGCAATATTTCAAATGTTTCATAACTAATATCAAACCAATTGGAATTATGTATGATTATTGTAGAGATATCAAATGAAGATCTAGTTGAGTTTCATCATTAGAAGTAATTATTTTATATTGTATTAACTTATCGCCAGCATATACTGTTAGCATAGGGGCTGCCCCATTCCATTGTCATCCATTACAAAAAAAGTCAATGACATTATAACACTACACCTGTCCTTAAAATATAGATATATAATAATAAATTATATACATATACCCCGTTAGATACTTAAAAAACATGATAATGATTAAACATATAAGCAACTTAATCGACATTGTCTTACAATATTATTTCTTATTTCCTACAAAATATAACGTAAAGTTACTTCAAACAGTGACTCTTAGTCATTTAATAAAGTCTCTATTGATTTTAAAACACACTTTATTGCTATAAAGACGCTTATATAGGTATCCATTTTGTACTTAAAATAATAAGTTATGGCATCGAACCTGATTTATTTTCAAATTCACGAGTGTCAAGCCTGTAATATATGGATCTGATGGGATAAGTAATTGTATAGACAAATGTATGTTTTTACTTACTTATCTGTCTTATTCATAAAACGTTAATTTCGATGGATCCTGTGATAGATATTCAATATTAATATTTTAACAGTTTCGTTTAATTAACATTTTACAATACTATTAGATATTTTTAGATCTAATCACAAATGATATGTACAATATTACTTTTAGGACCCTGAAGACATTGCTTTTAGAATAAATATACGATTGTGTAATTGGAATGCTCTTTCTAACATACTGTTATATTAATATTCTCAGTTGAGTAAAGAGTTAATTAGTAAAATATTTAAAATAACAAGTGGTGGTTCTTGGGCGAATGTACCAAATGTATGTATGTGTATACCTGAAGTTCAAAGAATAGTTACTATTCAACAAGCAATGGAAACTCTTCAATATCTTCACACATGGAGTTAAAGCCAGCTGCCCATGCTTCTGCTGCCTCCTCCTGTAAAATAAATTATCATACATTTAATAAAATCTTAAATGATCTCAGTCTGTAATTAAAATAATTTTTCAAAAAACCAGTTTGTTTTTCTATTTCAAAAGTTTTCAGGTCTAAAAAATAAAGTAAGTAGGACATCATTATACCCCCTTACAGTCAATGAACCTGCTTAGTCTGGAAGACTGATTGCATGATAATGAATAAGAAGTACCCAACTAGGTGTTATTTTGCAAAAGTCAATTTAACTACTTAATGGATGTAAATTATTGCTTAATTCCGCTACAATTAGCATTTGTGACATCACAAAAATTATGTGTGGAAACTTGGCTATCTTCTTTAATGGTTAAAACGGCAGCTTAAACGATTTTTATTAATTGTTTTGTATTTGGCCGTTTCTGAGAACAGGTATAGATATAGATATAGATATAGATATAGATATAGATATATATATATATATATATATATATATATATAGATATATATATATATATATATATATATAGATATATATATATATATATATATATATTAGGGGTATTTTTATACCCCTGGTTAAATTATATGGCAAAATGACATTTGCGGGTAAGAATATATTTATGTCTACAATTTTATATTGGAGGTAGGAATTGTATCCATCTTCATAAGTGAAGAAGGACTAAAAATGGTTTAGAAAAAGTATCACAGAAACTGTCTCAAAATCATGACTAAAAAGACAACAACTTAGCTAGCTATATTTTCTTACATTCTTCTCAATATCAAATGCAGTGTGTTATGCCAATCTTTATGAACAGTGGTTATATAACACACTCACACAAACAAACACACTTTTATAATATTTACTCACATTTATAATGTAACTTAGCTTTAGACAAGGTACAAAATTTAAATATAAGAAAACTTACTCACAATTGAAAATGAAATTTAGAAACATAGATTACCTCTTTCTTTGCTTTATTTTGTTTCTTGCTAGGCTTTTTTCTAGTGTTTTTAGTGTTCTTTTTAGGTTGTGCTTTTGGAAATGTGAATGTGAGGTCACCTTCGTCACTTGATACTGACTGCTCTGCATCTGAATCTTGCACATCACTGTTAGATACAGATCTTTGTCGGAATGTCACTTTTTTAGATTTTCCATAACTTTTTCGTAATGGCTGAAAAAATAAAACAATATAAATAAGTAATAGCTTATAGGGAAATATTGGTATGTGTATATTTATTTATTTTCACACATTAACTAATAAAAAGAAATTTGATGTAAAATATCACCAAAGTTATAATATGCCAATGGATGAGAATAAAACCTGAAATTAAACCTTATATTGTGCTACCATCACAGCATGCCAATAGCTTTCCCCATAAAAGAGGCCCATAATTTTTTGTTGGAATCTTACACAATTATAATTTGGAATGTATATAATCTAGTTACTATTACTTATCATAATGAACAAAGATCATTTGGAGAAATAAAATAGTTAAATAATATCCAATTACAAACCTTTTGATGATGTATGATTTCCAAATCTTCAAACAAATGTACAGATTGAGATTCATCTCCGCTTGATTCTGAATTAGAAGATATATTATTGGTATTTGTTATTTCCTGTCTATTTTTTTCAGCTTCAGCTTGCTTATCTGGAATGATTGGTGCATCAGTTGCAGATTTCATTCCTTCATAAATTTGATTTACGGTATCAGAACTTGGTGCTATCTTAGATTTAGCAGCAACAGGCAATAATGCTCTTGTAGGACCTGACTGAGCATTCATTTCTTGAAGTGCAGCCCGTGCACGGGACCTCAGTGCCAAAACTCTAGGGTTATTAATTTTTATTGGAGAAACATTTTCCTGATCTTCACTGTCATCAAAACCAAAGAATGTAGCATTTTTATCTTTTTGTGTTGTTTCAGAAACATTTGCTTTCTTCAAATTTTCATACTGATTTTCCTTATCATTACTGCTGTTTGGTAAATCATCTACTGACTCCTTATTTGGAGTGTCAACTTTTTCTTTTATCTTCTTTGATCCTTTAGTAGGTGTTTTATGTAAGGCTGTATGTGTACTGCCAGGCATATTAGATAAATCTTCAAACATTTTATTTACTTTAGTTGGTGTATCTGATTTGCCCCTTCTTTTCTTAGCAGCATTTTTCTCTGCTACCTCTTTTATAAATGATATTATACTAGTCTGTTTCAAGTTAGGCTCACTGTTTAGAACAGTTACTGGCAATATATCTTCTGATTGTGGTAACATATTGGTATAGACATGTTTCTTTGTGTTCTCCTCAGAATTTATGAATGAACTTTCAACTGCCGGAGTCATATTTGATTTCACATAAGTGTTTGCATGCCATTTTATAGGTAAGTTTCCAAATTCAACCCGCCATGGACTGGCATGTGCCTGTCTAACTGAGATATTCATACTACTGCTTGCTACAGGAATGTCATCAAAGAAACTAAGATCTTCTTGAAGATTCAATGGGTCTTTATTGTGTATTTGTGGTTGAACAACCCTCTCTTCTCTAACAGAACTTATTTCTTGTGTTTGCGTATTTGGTCTATGGGGTGAATTGACTGGGGAGTAGTTTATATCATGATCCATGTCTAATTCAAAATCAGCAGCAATGTCCTCTACTCTAATAGAATTAAAGTTTCTACCTTGAACTGTCAAGTTATTAATGGTTTCATGAATTGATTCAACATTTTGAACTTGATTAATAATGTTATCAACATTTTGTATATTTTTAGTAGGTTTAATTCTGATTACATCCTTATCTTGTATATTTGTTTGAATATTCTCATGGTTATTTTTTTTTGTATCTATTTTATTCACATTTACCAATGCCTTTACAGTTTTTTCTGTATTAACAGCACATATTTCCACTGCAGGTACTGTTACTTTCTTAGTAACAACAGTTTTCAAAGCTGCCAGAGCTTTGTTCAAATTTGCATTATAATTGTTCTTGAAAATAACAGTCTTAGCTTGTGCTGGTTTCTTCTTTGTCACTCTCTTTCGTTTTTTCTTTGGTGGTGGTTCTTCATTAGGGTCATAGGTAAATTCATAAACATCTGGATTATCATATTTGTCAGATGAAGGCTTCTCTTCAAGAACTTTAAATGAATAATTGTTATTTATTTTGTTTAGAGCTTTTTTACTAGACTGCTTTGTCACCGTTTCCTTCACAGAGATGTTTTTATGAGGTATTTTAGTATCACTTCTGGCCCTTAGCAAGATTTTATTGGCATTATTGTTTGTATCTGAAATATTTGTATTTTTAGAACATTGTATGTGTCTTTTCTGTGGAGTTTTCTTTATAGGTGAAATTTTGTCTTTCTCCTTATTTAAATTTTTTGAGGTAGATGATTTATTGGGAGTAAGATTTTTATTTGTTTTAGAAGTCTTATTCTGTAATATTGGTGTACTGGCATGACATGGCTGTACCACAACAGATTTGGTTGGACTCAGAGAGTGATCATCAAACTTAGAAGGTAACCTACATAATCTTCTTGGTCGATTAACTACTAAGCTGGACTCTGATACTTGTGTAACTTTTTGTGGTGTCTTAAATGAATTTGAAACAGGTGAAGTTTTTGGTGAAGGTTTGACCGGTAATTTGGAAGTTTTAGTGTCTTTCATCTGTATTTCTGAGTCACTTTTAAAATGACTTTCCAATTCAGTATCATTTTTGCTATTTGATAAATTATTCAATAAATCACTTTCCTTATAGCGTGTAGGCAATCGTCTTTCACGACGAGGTCTTGCATTACTCTCAGATTCCGTTACAGTGGTCGGTTGATCAGAAGTTAAACTTGTTATAACTTGTTTTTGTTTCTGTATAGACATGTCATCATCAGATACTGAATTAGTTTTGTCTTTTAAAGCCTTTCTATGTATCTTCGTAACTTTGCTATGTTTTATTTTTAATTTGTTTTCGACCACAACACTTTTATTCTCTTTCAAAGTTTTTGTTTTGCTGCCTCGAGTTCGTGGCGGCATGATGCTATATATAATTCTGTTACAACATCGATGTAAAATCACTGAAACACTAATGCCATAGTATTATAAAATCTTTAAACACTGAGTTCTATGATTACATGTGTTATAATTAACAGTTATAACATTGGTAGTGTATTATTCATAAAATTACGCTTAAAAAGTCTTTGAAAGTAGTTTTCGCTCGCTTTTGAAGAAATGTCATTTGATATATGTTTTGACAAAATTGACAGCTCGATTTATTACTGTGCTACATTGGCTGACAGTTTACTGACGACGTACACTGTAAGTGTATATAGATCCAGTGTTGCCAACCGTCTGAGGATTTGGACTCTCTCACCCGTCCAAAATTTTTCACTGCAGCCAAAATTTTGTAATGTTGTGGGAACAAATCTACGTTTTTTGTAATATGATGCTCCACATAATTCTAATTAATTAATTAGATAATATTGTATATCAAGATTACTTCACAATTCGAAATAAGGCTGTAAACTTTATGTAATCAATTTTTTGAAATTGTCAACCAGATTTTCTGTGTATAGTTTATGTTGCAACACTGTACACCTCAGTTTCTGAAATCATACAGTAAACTGAACTAATTTGACGTATAAAGTCAAGTTACATTTTAAATTCAAATCAAAATTTCAAAACTTGTCGTTGAATTAACCGTTTCGCATCGTGTATTGTTGTTCCTCTAATTTCACTATTATTCTATTTTAATGAAAACTTTTTGTGAAATATAATTATAATCTTTGTGTTTAGTGTTACTTATATGATAAAACTATTTTAGACCCGTAATACTTTTTTTGCGAAGTCGTCATAATCTATCGTTTATTTAATTAAAGAACTTTTATGAAGAATTAAAAAAGTATCAATGACATAAATAATAAGTAAAACCCATCGCTATGATGAAAAAAATTTGACACTTCCCTGATCATCGGTAAGAAAAAGGTACGGAAAGAACAATAAATAGCAGAGGGCTCTGAAAAAAAGGACATTACAACTGTCCAAATTTTATTTTGTTTGCCTAATTGAAGAAATAAAAATGGTAGAAAGCGACAAAACAACGATAGACACAGTCCAAGTGGCCCTTCGGATTCGACCTTTGATGCAACAAGAAATAGAAAGAGGCTGTGATGAGTGTATAGAAGTTGTTCCCGGAGAGCATCAAGTTCAAATAAAGGATCTGGCATTCACATACAATTATGTGTTTGCACAACATATAAATCAGCAGGAATTTTATGATACATCAGTGAAAGGTCTTATAGGAAAACTTTTCCAAGGTACTTCTTATGTTTTCTGTCATGAGAGTTGTTTGAATCCACCTGTACTAATAGTATGTGTTGATACTAAAGTTGAGGATGAAATCAAGTTAGATGCCATTGTAGAAAATGTATTAGTGGTGGTCAAACTAACTGGGTATATTGCTAGTAATTGGGTCTATTACTAATACGTACTAACAATTTCTGTCATTGTTACTTGATAATTATTTTTTTATTTATAATATGTAGTTTTTCAATAATGTATATGTTTGTGGTTGACAAATGCTGATAATATGGACTATTTTTGTCCCTTGTTTGCTTATAATTAATTTTAAAGAAGGTAATAATTAGATTAGTAAGAAGATTCACTTTTTAAAATTCATTAATGTATGTAAGTGTGGTGGCTTTTAACACATGTTTCCTTTGCTTATCTCATATAGAAATTAGTCTAAAGATGTGACATTGGTTTGTGCTTGTATTGGGAATTCTTTATTAAATAGGTTTGTTATGATATTCTGTATTTTCCCAGGTTACAATGTAACAATACTGGCTTATGGCCAGACTGGTTCTGGAAAGACTTATACCATGGGCACCAATTATTCTGGATCCGATGGGGACTCCACTAAACTAGGTAATGTTTAAACTTTACTGTTATTCAATAATATAATATTTGTTTCCTAATCTTCAAGTAGTTTTACTTTAAATATGAAGATAATTTTTAAATATGTGTAAAATTATTATTTTCATAAATTAAGGTTTTATAATTATTATAATTATTTATTGTCCCACTGCTGGGCACATGCCCTCATTGGCAGAGGATTAGTCTCTTATATAAGTAAGTTCGTTTACAAGTTTTTCAGTTATAAATAACATTATTATATTAAACTATATACTTATTCTTGTGATATCAACACATAGATATCAATTGTAAAAAATAATTAATCTGAAATTTTTAAGCGATTGTCAATTAATATATTAAATTATATTTATTTTAGTTGTATATGACTTTTCAGGGAAGGAATGTGTAAAATTATGTATTTTAATGATTATTTTTTATATTATAATGACACATAAATGAACACAACTACAGATACACATCTTTGATACTTCTACAAAATTTTACCTTAATAATGTACTATTTTTACATAATATAGATGTAAAAAAATTGCTGTGTCCTCTGTATCTTATTTCCTCTCCTACATCTCAGGTAATTATAAAGTAGCTTCCTTGTAATTTTGGTTGAAATTACAAGATCTTGAGGTATAAAATGTATATCATGGGTATTAGGTGTGTTGCATACTGATGTTATGTTTGTGGTGTAGATAATAATGTAGGTAATAAGATATTTTTAAATACAATATTTCAGGTGTCATACCCCAAGCTGTAGCAGACATATTTGACTTTATAGAAACCCATGAAGATAAATTTGTCTTTAAAGTGTCTGTTTCTTTCATGGAATTGTATCAGGAACAGTGCTATGATTTATTATCAGGGAAGGAACGTGGTCACAGTATTATAGAGATTAGGGAAGATGTAAATAAAGGAGTTATATTGCCAGGCAAGTCTATTTATGTATTTATAATATATTTCTTCCTGGCAGTGTATTGTAATATTCATTTAAATTTAGAAAGAATTATTTAATGTAGTGGCCAAATAAAATATGATATTCAACCAGCCATTGTGTAGTATTAGTGCATGCTCATACTCATAATCAGAAATGTTTGTATCATGTAAGGAGTTGAACCCATGACCATCAGAAGTAAAATGATGTACTGAGACTGTCAGCATATTTATTCAATTCATCCAATTAATTCTAAAAAGTGTTCCATTGAAACTAAGTAATTGGTTGCAGTATAAGTTGACCAAAATCATATCTGGGTAGGTGATATTAAGATATCATCTTAATATTATGATTATCATTACCTATATACATATTATTTTGTGTGTATTGTATTTGATTGGGTTCCTAGAACGGTTGAAAACATAAGACCTGCTAGTTAGCATTGCTTTTCGCTCCGAATGATGTATGCCTGTATAATTCCCAAAAAAATTATATTACAGGTATTACTGAGTTATCAGTGTCATCAACGGCAGAAACTATGATGGTTCTGGAGCGTGGCTCCATTGGCAGAGTGACTGGCTCGACTGCCATGAACCAGGCCTCGAGTAGGAGTCATGCAGTATTTACAATAGTTATAGCGAAAGAGAGCAGGACTAACAAGTAGGTTTTAAATGATTATTTACAGGGCTTTGATGGACAGATCGATCGCCACAACTCATTAAAGTTTATCGCACTGAAATGACCTGTCATGTTTACCTATGTTAGGTTACAATGTCCAATTCGCGCTGGCAAAGTTTATTACTCACTTGATAGGCGGTAACCATGACATATATAAATAAACAGTAGTAGGAATATTACGTTATCATGTGAAACAATTCATGCGTTGCCATTCTAGAGGACTAATTGTAAGATGTCATGACTAATATACTGTTAATTACCCGAGGTTCGAACCCCTAGTGGTGCCCTCAGTCTAAAGTCGTATCCGTTAGGCAGGAGTTGGCCTTCAGCCGCTCCATAAGTCCTTCTGCGGGTTTGGAGTGCCATCTGCACTCGCCCACTAATGTCCGGTGAAGCTGTAAAGGCCAGCTGCGGCCAACAGCATTAGAGTAGTCTGAAAAAAAAAACCGTTAATTCATTGTCTAATCACCAAAACAGCTTAAAAAGCTTGCTGCTTCTCAACTGAAGTATTTGAGACAGATGACTTTTTACAGTCTGTTGCTGACAAAACACTGAATAAACACACATGTTTTCTCTAGAAATTATGTAGGTATTAGTAATATAAATTATCTTTTACTTGTAGTAGTGAGTCCAGGACAGTTTTACCGAATCTATTTTTACAATAATATTCCATAATTACATAATATTATACTAATAATTTAGAATAGGATAGATATAGATATTTTTTTTTATAAATGGCTCCACTTTAATATAGTATTTGTGAAATTAAATTTACAGGAACTTAGCCACAACATCAAAATTTCACTTAGTTGATTTAGCGGGTTCTGAACGTATAAAAAAGACAAAGGCAAGTGGCGAAAGATTGAAGGAAGGTGTGAAAATCAACCAGGGATTATTGGCACTAGGGAATGTAATCTCCGCACTTGGCGATGGCACTAATCGAAGTTTCATAAGTTATAGGGACAGCAAACTCACACGATTACTACAGGGTATGTATGATGTTTTTTTACAGTAGTATTCTATTATAGTATTCTGTTGACTTTTTCTTCTTTCTACAAACAAGTTTCGTGCTCCTTCGTGTGATTAATCTGCATTCGGAATGAGTGGTATAATAAAAATTATGATTATTGAAAAGTGCTTATATTAAGTTTAATTAAATTCACATTATTTCTATTGGTTATTGAAAACTGATTTAGGCAAAAATTCAAAAATAGTCAACATTGTGTAAATAATTATGTAATAATACGTATGTGATGTGTTAACATTCTAGAGGGCTAAGATCTTTGTTAGATTGTTTTATGGGTACTAAAGAACTGATAGAAATACTTAAATATTTTTTTATAGACAGATTACATATCACATACATATTTTACATTCTATGTAACATACTAAAAACTTATAAAAACAGAAATTGATACATTGTGACATCGGAAGCAAGTTGGTGTACTAAATCAATTAAATATTTAGAAATGGAGAATACAATATGTTAATAAACACTGCAATTCTTCAGAACATGATAAGATATAGTATTTATAATACATACAAAATATAACCAGCAGTACCGAGCTACCAGTCCGGTATTGTGAAGGTGAAATTCTTTTATGGAAGAGGGATTTGTACCTAGCAGTGAACTATAGTTAGCCTTTATGACTATTTTACTATTTAAAAAACTCTTCACAGATAGTCTCGGTGGCAATTCTCTCACTTTAATGGTTGCGTGCGTAAGTCCAGCGGATTACAATTTGGACGAGACTGTCTCGACGCTGCGCTATGCCGACCGCGCTCGGCGCATCCGTAACAAACCTATCATTAATCAAGATGCTAAGGCCGCTGAAATCATCAGGTAAGTTTCCAAATATTTTATTTTAAATTTAAAGTAGTCATTGAAAATATTGGAAATTAATCTATTTGTTATTTATCAGTGCAGAATACGAGTTTATTAAGTGCTATTAATTGTTATAAACTATACCTAATACAATGTAATATAAAATTGAAATAAATGTCTTGAATATAAACAATATAATGAAATTCAAACTAATTAAGAATGGAACAAAAAAGGTTTAATTGTACTGTATTATCCACATACGTTACCGAAATTTTTATGTGTGTGTGTGTTTAATGAATATTAAATTCATACAACATATCGTAATAAAAAATTATGAAACAGGTTGAATAACTTAGTCAATGAACTAAGACTGGAACTTCTTGGTAAATTGCCGACAATATCCGAACAGAATAATGAACAGCTGCAGGAACAGTTGGAACAAGAGAAGGCTAAGTACGCCGATCTACTGAAGAAGCACAAGCAAGTCACTGAACATCTTAGTAATATGCTCATAGAAAACACGAATTTATGCGAAAAAGCACTCTTGGCAGAGGCTGCAAAGGACAAAATTGAACGGAAACTGAATGAGTTGACAGAACAGTGCAACCAAACAATAGAAAACCTAAATATAAGTGAGAAGGTACAAAATGACGAATCTCAACGAACTAGTGTTGTTGATTACTTAAAAGAAATTAAGACAAGATTAGAAGATCTGCAGTCTGTTAATTTGAAGACAAATGAAGAATTAATAGACCACGAAATTAAATTGTCATTTGTCAAGGAAGAGAATGACCATGACAAGGTTGATGATGAAGTGTTGTTGAATGAGGACCAAGCAGTAATGGAGGAAGAGAAGAGAGCTATGGGACAGGTAACTATTAAAAAATCCTTAGAAAGTGTTATATTTTTTCATCTACACCTATTTTGTTTCTATAATCTATTCCTATATATTGGTGTCAAATTTCTACACTATTTAGCTTACAACATTAAGAAGTAATAAAGAGATTTGTCATATTAATTAATAATTTCTTAGATGAGTTGAGGTATCTCATTGTTGTATTACTTGTTAATATTTTAAGTATATGTTTGGCACCACATATATATATATATCTATAATCTATGTATATACATACATCAACATTATCATCATAATTATAATGACTGTAAAACTATCTTAGAAATATTACCTAGTTTTTATTACCACATATTTTCAGGTGGCACTGAATCAAGAGCTACAAGAATTAAACAGAGCAATGGCTATAAAGGCTTCTGTGGTACAAGCAATCCTCGCTAATAATAAAGACATGCTGGACAGTCACAACAACCTACGAGAGAATGAGGAGAAGATTGCCCAGCTAGAGAAGGAGAAAGATGAACTACTCCAACAGTTGAAGAGGACTAAGGTGATGTTTTTTTTTACCTTTCAATACCTGTGTCACTTTCCATTAAATAGGCCGTCAGATTGTTTGTCTTTCCAGGTGCAGAAAATGAACTATAATAGTTAATTTAGAATTCTATGACTTCAAAATTTGAAATCAAGAAATATTACATTTAAATAAAAAAATATAGTTCACTGGGGTTTATGCTTATGGATTTGCATGAGTGATATTGTGTATGTTTGAAATTTTCAGTGAAATTTTTGAATTGTTTTAAATTTCAGCTTTCTGGACTTGGATAGTTTTATTTGTGCAGTGTTTCAATACTGTTATTTTATTTTAGTTTGTGTTCAATCGAGAGAAATAATCTTATAAGTATATAATGATCATAGAGATGTATATTTTATGTAAAATTTTTGTATTTATAGACTAAAGACCCATCACACGACGAGCGACGCACGAAAGTGTCCGCCCTCGAGTCCGAAATACAAGATCTGAAAAAGAAATGCCAGCAGCAAGCCAATATCATCAAAACAAAGGAGAAGAATGAAGCCAAGATTGCAGCCCTTAATGCTGAATTACAGTCTATGAAAGTCACTAAGGTAAATTAATTCTATAACACATGGCAAAATCATTTAGAAACCGTAAAGTAAACAGTAAAGTGATTAAACATAGCCTAAGTCCGTTCTCGTGATGCTTAGATCTAAATTGAATTATGGAATATATACATAAACAATATTTATTTATTGGTGAAATTTAAAATCATTGCCAGTGCAGAGTATGTATAATTATTATATAATTTTGTCATAAAGGTAAAAATTATTAAACAAATGCGGGAAGAGAGCGAGAAGTTCCGTAAGTGGAAGGCGGATAACGAACGCGCCCTCCTGCGGCTGCGCAATGAAGACCGGAAGCGCGCCACCGCTATGGCCAAGATGGAGTCGCTACACGCTAAACAACAGAACGTGCTCAAGCGCAAGATGGAGGAAGCTGTTGCCGTTAACAAGAGGCTTAAGGTCATTATTGCATAATAAATCAAATCAACGATATCATAAATATATCTCGTCACAGCGGCAACGGCCAAGCCAATAACGTCTCTATTACAGTTTTATTATTTACACGTGTAATTTCATGTCTTTTCTTTTTAGCATTTGAATTCAAGTTCTGTGTCTGATAATTAGGTCTCTTTCTTTGTTGTAGTGTGTATTATTGATTTAAACATCTATTATTTCATAAAGTTGATATGTAAAGAGAATAATACTGTAAAAATTATAACTTGTAGGAAGCGTTAGACAGGCAAAAGCATACTGCGATGAAGCGCAATGCAAAGGGAAGCGTGAAGGCTGGCGCCGTACAACAGTACATTGAGCAGGAATTAGAGGTCCATCTCAGCATAGTAGAAGCAGAGAAGTCTCTTGAAGAACTTATGGAGTATAGGTCAGATTATAATATTATATTAGAAACAATAAATTCAATATTTTACGTCTCTATATCTTATGTAATAATAAGAATAAGCAGTGATTCACACAAAGATATGTACAGTGCCAGTATAAGTAATGGCATTGTTAATGTTTTTAGGTGTGAAATGGAATTTTTCACATTTGATACAAATGTGAAAAATTACATGTGTTGCATATTTTTATTCCAGAGCATTCATAACTGAACAAATTGAGAGTCTCCGTAACAGTACAGATGACGAAGCAAATAGAAAGAAAATTGCCGAGTTAGAAGACGACCTCGCATTACGCAAGGCACAGATATCGGACCTGCAACAGAAGATATTGACAGCTGACCAAGGTGAGTTTACTGTTTTGATTTCTAAAAGTATATTATAATTATATTATGTATATATCATACAATAACAAGTAGCCTAGGCTCCTCTACATTCCACATACATTTATATAAATATATCAAATCAAATAAAAAAATATTTATTCCTGTAGTATCTTACGGCCTCGTAATGCATGTTATATTTTTTTACCACCGTCCAGCTCGGCTCGCTAGTTCATTTGAACAGAACTGACAATAATATTATTATATATAAGATTATTATTTTGTCAGTTTCAGCCCTAAAAGATTTTTCTATATTATAAATGCGAAAGTGTGTCTATCTGGAATTCTGCTTGTTTGTTAGCTTTTCACCCCTTAAATATGACATGAAAGTAGATTTTTAATAATGTAATGGTGCAAATGCCGTTATAGATGCGGAACATTGTAGATAGTGTAGGGAAGGCCCTTCTACAGGTTTGTTAGGGCGACCTATTTCGCCCTTTCTATAGTAAAAGCATGTGAGAACACGCGTATGCCTCTGGGCTTACACTCTTAAGACGTGAAAGCCTAGCTAACTCAATTTATTACTTCAAATGTTGTCACGTCATGTTATTTACAGAAAACAAGTCACGCACCCAATGGGACAACATACAGTCAATGCTTGAAGCCAAAGTTGCCCTTAAATGCTTATTCGAGTTGCTTGTTGACTCGAAGCGTGAACTTCAGAACCAGAGCGAGAAGGGTTACCAGACCAGATACGAGGAGATAAAGGAAGCTCACGATAGACTAATGGTGGAATTTGAGGCCAACAAATCTGAGTTTGAAAGGCAACTGGCGATGGTTAAGCTGCAAAATGAACAGAAGGTAAGTTGTATATTTTCAATTCATAAATTTGAAATTAAATCTTGATAGCTAGATAATAAAAAAATATTTCTTATTTTATTTACCCTGCCTGCAAGTAGTATTAAATTCTCGCTTTTTCTATTCTTTAGCTAGGATCTGAATCTGAAAGTTACGTGATAAATTACAACTCGATATTTTCAAAAGTAATTGAAAAAAAAATGTTAATAGTTAATTATACAATTAACGACATTTCTAGCAACAATGCATTCATAATTTTGAAATGAGCAGTTTACTACTAATTGTAGGTATTAGTTATGACCGTTTTAGTATGATTTATATGAGTCGGATCTTTCGTCCTTTTTTTTACACAAATTACATCAAAACTTTGAACCATATTTTAGATAGATCCTTAATTAGACAAGTCCTGCTTACTATATCGCAAATACGACCAGTATTTGCGATATAGTAAGTAGGACTTACTCTAGCATCTATCAGTATAATTATTATAATGGCCAAGTATAAACCAGTTTTGACAAATATAAAAATTTTGATATTCTAGATCTAAATATGGGTATGGTAAGTATGGGTCGTCTCTTATTTAACAATCATATCAGCATATAAGTAAATTGTAATTTAAATTATTTTTATGACAGCTATCGGCATTAGTGGCTGCACAGCGCGGTGTCATCAGCAGAGGTGACAAGAACGAAGCGTGCAAGCATCTGCAGAATGTCATTCAGTACCAACAGGATAAGCTCGAACAAATTGAAGAAGAAAATGTATGTCACTAACAATAGAGCAACAGATAATAATTTCTTCTTGTTTAAGTTTACTGTGTCATTGTAAAAAATCAACTGTAATTCCAAGTTAATTAAATGTGAACCCTATGCTATTACATTAAACGTGACTTTACTATTTACATGGTCGTTTATGTAGTAGTATAGTTGTAGTTACAAAGAAACTAATAAAAATATAGAATCTATTATAAATTGGTATGACAGGTTAATTACTATAATAAAGTAAATTTCCGTTAATATTATGAAGTAAAATTTCTAAGATTTTCATTTTTTATTAATATTTTTCATCGATTATACTGTGGAGTAATACTAAATTGAATATCTACAGAAAAAGCTAATAGACGAGTTAGAACAACTTCGTACTGCTGGAAAGAAGGCAAAGAAGGTAATAAAGAAGGAAACTCCTGTAGAAGCTATAAAGAAACTGGAATATGTTGACATCACTGATGAAGATGATGACGAGTTTGAAGATGAGGAGAAAGATCCGGACTGGAGGGCCACGCCACTCTTCAAACGGATACAGGTAAATAATAATAACCCAAGACAATTCCCGCAGCGTTATCAACTCCCAAGCTAAGATAAGCAAGAATTGTAGGCGAAGAGGTCAGAACCACTTTTGCCTTTCTACATGACGTTAGGAGGCTCCAAAAGCTGTGTTTCAAAACTACTAAATTTTAAATCAATTTCACGATCATTTGGACAGAAATCTATTTATAACACAGTAATAAAATATGTGATCAAAGATGGGCTCTGAAACAAATTACTTCCAGCCCTACTGTTGTGACAGTGGAAATATTTAGCGGATAATAGCAGACCTAGAGTTCTAAATATGTAAATAGAAAATGATAATGTAAAGTTAAAAAAAAAACAACATATATGTATCATACAATTAATATATATAATGAGGAAAGGTTAATAATTCTACATATCTTTATCTTTACATAATTAAAACAAAGTCGCCGTCGCTGTTCGCTTAAATCTTTTAAACTATGCAACGGATTGTAATGCAATTTCCAGCAATAGATAGAGTAATTCAAGAGGAAGGTGTATATGTATAATACATGGGTATTGTAGTATGGAACAAGCCGAGAAATTAAAAGATTTTATTGCATCCGTGCGAAGCTGGGATTGATCGCTAGTTACAATATGTAAATAAGATTTAAATATATATAAATACCTAAATACTGAAGCATAAATAAATAACATACATTAACAAACAGAATATAAATAAGATAATATTGCTATAGAAACAACTTTATGTATTGATAGAGAGCAAATAAGATTTTATTCTCGTTTCTAAAGTAGTATAGGCACATATTGATAGAGAGGGTATGAGATTTTAATATTTTTTCTAAAGTAGTGATATGTACACACAGGCGCAGCGTTCACGTCTAACGATGAACTTCACAAACCCCGACATGGAGAGCAACGGGCGCGCCACGAAGCGAGGCAGCGACGGCGCGGCGCACTGCACGTGTCGCGGCAGCTGCTCCACCAAGATGTGCGGCTGCGTCAAGGCCGACAAGGGCTGCGGCTCCACCTGCCGCTGCCAGCGCGAGCTCTGCAAGAACAGGCGCATCTCTTCCGATAGCGAGGACAAGGAGAACAATGTTAGTATATATAATTAGCTGGACACAGCTTAGTCGACCATAAGCGACTTCGTCTGCCAAGTAAAGAAAGAATATTTAGTAATCTAACCCAAAAAAGCCAAACATAAAGTTTCATCGTTCTAGCCTCAAAAATGATGAATTCCTTTCCAAACTCATTCCCTATTCATTTTACTTCCGGAAGGGTAAAATTTTACAAACTTAAACTTGAATGTCATAGTTATTTACAAGTAAATCTGTGCAACTAGCAATGCTTAGTCGACCATAAGCGACTTCGTCTGCCAAGTAAAGAAAGAATATTTAGTAATCTAACCCAAAAAAGCCAAACATAAAGTTTCATCGTTCTAGCCTCAAAAATGATGAATTCCTTTCCAAACTCATTCCCTATTCATTTTACTTCCGGAAGGGTAAAATTTTACAAACTTAAACTTGAATGTCATAGTTATTTACAAGTAAATCTGTGCAACTAGCAATGAAAATAAAATACAGCCCTCCATCTACTGATACATTGTTTGTTTTGAATTAAAATTATGATTCTTTTTTAATAATAAATTATATATGTTTTTTCTTATACTAAGCATGTGTCGATTTGAATATGTTCTACAATACGCCAGATGTATGCAGACATTGTTGTGATGGGGTTCTTTTTTGTTGAGATGGTGAGTTTACTAATAAATAATATATACGTTTACAGCAGAATATGTATTGTCTCTTTTTATAATATATTTACAATGATGTCAATCTATATTTGACAACAACTATTATAAAAAACGTAATCGGTGAGGAGGCCGTATATACACCTAACATCCTCCCGCAGACATGAAGTGCTATTCAGGTAGCCAACAGTAAATGAGCTTTGAATACATTACAGTTTATCTTATTTTGCCTACTCTCTCTATCCCGTCCCACCAGGGGTACCATCTTTCCCACCAAGCGTACCAACTTTCCACCCAACCTCCCCTCCACCAAGTAGGGTCCGGTGGCTTAAATTTCCTGCTGATATACTTATCTTGAACTAGACGAAATAGAATTACACTGCTCCATGGCAATATTATTAAACATCTAATATATCTATTTTCTTCTTGGCTCAGAATTAGTTTAGTTTTCATTCTTATCATACTTTTTTCGTCTGTAAAAATAGTCTTATTTTTCAATTTCTTAAACTCGTCATTTGCTTGAAAATATTCTCTTTGTATAATGATTATTGACTTATTTTCCACTTCTTTATAATCATCGAATGTCAAAATTGTAGCTAGTCTTTGTTCTTCCTTCTTTTGTTTACAGTCGTAAGTAATCTTTTCATACTTCAAAGAATGTTTCGTTACGTAATTTTCTATCCTTTTATCTCCCTCGTATTTCTTACTCCTACCCGATGAAATATATTCCATTGTCGGTTCAGTTACTTCTTTCATATAATCTATAAACCCTGACATGGCTAACTTGACTCTTTCGTCTCTTTCTTTATTCATCGAGTCTCTACTGACACTCACTTCGTGTGAATTCTTTAAAATTCTCGTACTTTTATAATTGATCACACTCTGTTCATTGTCATCTCTATTTGAAGTTCTTGGACTTATATCCTGTCTCTCAGGTGATACAACTGGTAACTGAGAGGCAGGTTGATGTTTATTCTGCCGTTGTATTACGTCTTGATACATATTATCTAGAGTAATCCATTTAATCAAAAATTCATCGGCCGTTTCACAATCTGCGTAAAATTCATCTTCATTTGTTTCGTCGTCATTCACCCATTCATTGTAAATATCTTTGTCTACTTTAAATAATTCATCTGCTTTACTTTTAAATATTGAATGACACACCTTTATTTCCGCAGTATTTGGTATGGGTTCCTGTAATAACTCTGATAATTGGTTCCCAGTCTTTGTGAATAGTCGGCGTAAATTTGTTCTTGATTTTTTTAGTCTCAGCATTTTAGTACGAAGTCACGGTCGCCAGATGTTGTGGTGGGGTTCTTTTTGTTGAGATGTGTTAAATAATAATAATATGTATGTTTGCAGAATAATTGTATTGTCTCTTTTTTTAATATATTTACACAATGTCAATCAAACAACGAATTTTGACAACAACTATTATAAAAAACGTAATAGGTGAGGAGGCCGTATATACACCTAACATCAATAGAGATTTTAAATGTCCAATAATATTACCTTCAAGTAGCGTTATTATATATCGTCTAGCGCAAGAGAAGCACGTAAGCCTTCATCATGCGAATAAACATATTTTAATAGCAACGATAAGAGAACGATATTGGATAATTGGTATAAAAAGACTTGCCACAAAAGTCATAAGTAGCTGCGTAAAGTGTCGACGTCACACTACGAAACCAGTTCAACCGATGGAAGCGGCCCCATTACCAAATGATAGAATAAAAAATAGTGCCCCCTTTGAGGTAACTGGTGTAGATTTAGCAGGACCGCTTTTATTAAAAAATTCGCAGAAACGATGGATCGTATTATTTACTTGCGCAGTCTATAGAGCCGTTCATTTGGAATTGGTGGATTCACTTTCAACTGATAGTTTCATGATGGCTCTTAGACGTTTTATTGCCAGGAGAGGAAGAGTACATACTATCTATTCTGATAATGGCACGAATTTTATAGGTATGAATAGTAGACTTACTAATGTTGACTATAAATTAGAAACGAATCTAACACATTACAAATCAGATGGAGATTTATGCCACCATGTCTTCGGGGAGGTTAGTACGAATGGTGAAGGAAATGTTAAGGAGAGTGTTAGGTAGAAGTTCTATCAATTACGTACAGTTGGAAACAATATTATGTGACATAGAGGCAACTATAAATTCGCGACCGTTAACTGCTACTGTTAATGACAAGGAAACTATTGTGCCCTTATCACCAATGAATTTTATACAACCTATAGCAAGTACCGATACTACAGATTTAGATTATATCGATATTAATTTAATCACTCGATTCCGATATATACAGAACTTGAGAAATGATTTCCGGCAGAGATTTCGGAACGAATACCTTGCAATGCTTGTTCATAATAATAAACAAAGGAACAAGGTACAGCTCAAAACCGGAGACATTGTTCTAATGGAGACTGCTGACAAGAGGATCAAATGGCCACTGGGCTTAATTCAAGAAATTATCACTGGTGCTGACGGGGTAGCCAGAGTAGCTAAGATCAAGACGAACTCTGGTGTTTTCGTACGCCCCTTTCAGAGGCTTTACCTTCTAGAAGCTCATTTACTCTAAGCTATCTGATGAGTACTTCATGTCTGCGGGAGGATGTTAGGTGTATATACGGCCTCCTCACCTATTACGTTTTTTATAATAGTTGTTGTCAAAATTCGTTGTTTGATTGACATTGTGTAAATATATTAAAAAAAGAGACAATACAATTATTCTGCAAACATACATATTATTATTATTTAACACATCTCAACAAAAAGAACCCCACCACAACAGACATGTTTCCTCTCTCTATATCTCTGCATTTTGAGAAGAAATATCGCGTCTACAAAATAATTATAAGTCAATAGTTTAACAAGATTTTTTTCTCCACAGCCGTCGAGTACTGAAGTGACTCTTGACACAACGCCGCGATCATTCTTCGACAAACGGTGAGTCATTTATACATTTTACCATTAAATATGATATTCATATTGAATCCGCTTACATACTTTTGGCGTGGTATAAAGTATATAAACATGTTTAGATTCGAAACGTCATACGAGTTGGAAAAAGAGGCGAAATCATCGAGTAGTAATGAAATACCGGAAAAAAATGAAACATACGAACGCAATAATACACGTTTGTTGCGTCCTGTACTCACAAGACGTGTACAGACAGACAGTCGCACGCAGAAGTGGATGTTAGCACTGCTATTGTACAATACTTGTGTCGCTCCAATATCTTCATACTGCGCAAACAATATAGTAGAGTATGGGATGGACGTGGCAAAATATAACGTTCTGACCCATGTCTTCGGATTTTTAATGCGGGAGGTTATAATTTCTGTTGAATGTATTTTGGTGTTTAATAGTTTAGACATACGGTTTGAATTTATGTTAGCAGACTATGCTCTTACTGAATATCTCGGCTTAATCTCAATTTAGTAGGTAGTATTGGGCAATTAAGTTTTGCTACATTTGTAAATACACTCATTCATTAATATCGAGAAAATCTTATTATAATAGTTAAATAGTTGTGGAGATCGTGCTCCAACAGCTCATATGCATTACGTACTCACTTGTTACTTAATGTTGGAGATTTTGTCACCATAAGCATCTTTATGCTCTATATATGTTATGGCATGTGACACCCCTGGTGTCTCAGGTGTCCATAGACTACGGTAACCATTTAACATCAGCTGGGACGTATGCTTGTTTGCCACCAAGGTAGTATTGAATAATGACAACTACTTTAACTATTCTAAACGAAACATTAAAGAAATATTGAATTTTCTATGAATATCAACTGGTTGTGCATTAACAACTGATAAAACTACATATACATATATATGTAGTTTCGTCGGGATCAAAGTAGTTATCAAGTACATTGCTAATCATTATGAATTTGTTTTTGTTCTATTTTGACGTAGTCGACCCGATTAACTTCTTTCGTAATTATTCCATTACGTTCCTAGAAAAAACAAGTTGTAATACAGACGATCAGTTATAACTTAAATTTTTCCTATTAAAACACGTTTTAACTATAAACCGGATTTACAATGACATGTAATAGGTACTTAGTTGCATTAAATAAAGCATATTCTTTTTAAAATAGAAAATTAAATAATTCCTGTTTAATCAATGTTGAAATGAACTGCATTCTAACTTTCAAATGTGACTGTTTGAATAAATATTATTTCGTTAATCTTTTTTTTTTGGAATATTTAAAAACCAAACTATTTTTTTTTATATCAGTAAGTGCATAGTTCTGCAAAGTAATTGTAGGCTAAGTATTAATAGATACGTATTATGATCATGAATACACTCTTTTTAAAAAACCATAATTCATCAAACAATCAACACTGTGACTAGAGAGTCACAATGTTGATTGCCTCCTGTGCTTGTGATTTTTATGCTATAGTTAATTTAATTCACTAACTTTTAGTATATGCCTAGTGTTCCTACATAAACATACTTCATCATTTCATATGATTATTTTTAATAAAACAACTTGCTTTACAGAATTATGCCATATCTCGTAATAAAAAGTAGAGTACATTGAAAATTATATAAGTCTCAATATGAAATTTATTTATATTAATTATTAATTAATGGACAATATTTATTAAAAAGTACAATGGTCTACTGTCATGCATATCGTGTACCAGTCATTTTAAGATAATTTAGAAAGGAAGAACAAATAAGAAGCGAAGATTCTGAATTAAATTATATTTGTAATATAATCGCTAAGTTTGATTAGAGTTTTAATTCTAGAACATTCGTGTTGATCACATATTTTATAAGATTGTTGTAAGAAAAATTACACAATGTCTACATTTATTATTATTTCAATATTTTAATTTATTATATTTTTTTTTACAGAAATCACCATGACGCAACATTTGTAAAAAAGAAGAAAAGCTATTTCTTCCCCCATGATTAGGGAAATGTCGGACCTAAATATATAAAGGTAATATTGTCAATAAAATATAGTAATATAATTCTAAATTTCTTTGTAGTAATTAATAAAAAAATATAGTATTATATATATATATAAATATTCGGCCGAAGAAGGCCGAAAAAGAGATGGATGGACTGTGTGATGATGTTGTAAGATTAATAACAAGATGACTGCGAACAGGGTTGAATGGAAGATAAAACATTTAACGCCGACCCCAAATAAATGGAATAAGGAAGAATTGGATGTTGATATATATATTATATATATGAAACATGAGAAGAAAAATAATAAATAGAATTTTATAACAAAGGACGATCTTATCTAGTAATTTATTACGATTATTATATCTAAAACTTATAAATTACAATGTGACAAGAAATTATAAAGTGTTTATATATTTTTACTTATCTTTTTTCAGACTGAATAATCTCCAACAAATATAATCACAGGATTACTTAATTATAAATTCGATAGTGAAGAGTGCCTTGTATTGGATTAGGGTTGATTTCTATTTTTATACAATGTGATCTAAATTAAGTGTACATGTATTAACAAACTGACTTTTATTTTTATTATTATTGTTATATTATGTAATTTAATTCAGGGAATGAAGACAAAACCCACTAAAATATTATGAATATTTCTATAATTTTTGTTTAAGTGTAATTGTCTTAATTCCCTGTATTGAACGAAAAACAACTTATTTGAAACAAACTTATAGTAAGTAGTGTTTGTAAATTAGTAGAGTAGACCTCTGAATAAATTTGTATTTATTATATTTTCGTGTTTCACTTACTTTTCAATTGTTGAATACCGCCGCACTGCCCGTACCGAATTCAATATGTTATTCACTGATAATTAAGCTATAGATGAGAGAATAATTAAATTTGTTAAAATAGTTTTTTAGTTGTAAACAAATATAGAAATAAATCGCTCCCATTTATAATAATAGCATATGCAATATAGCAATATTATACATGTAAATCTAAGTCCTCCGCCGCGTCGGCCTGTATCTTTGTGATAATCTCAAAAAATACTCAACAGATTATACAGTTTTAATATATGAACAACGTGATTTCTGAGGATGGTTTAGATGTACAAGTCATTAAGGTTGTGTAATGTAATTGAAATACCGATGGGATTCCAGGGCGGCTTACAAGTAAATGATAATTATCGTAATTTCATATACGATTTTTTAATTTACCACAATATTTCGTGATAAACCTTTATAAACTATGTTTAGAGTTGTTTGTAAATAGCGCATTTCATTGCAAATTGCAGTTCGGAACGTTATGAGATTTCCGATGATTGTCTCGTGCTGAAGAATTTCTAAAACAAAGATGCTAATTTGGAGTTGTTATCGTTGGAAATGTTCAATAACTTGTGTATGCATGCAATAAACATACGCATATTACTATTACAAAATCTTTAACTTTAGACTTGTCACATCAATCTCCAAAATTCAGAGGTGAGTCAGATTTTTCTATTGTACGGTAATGGTATGGTTTACCCGTCTACTCATATGGTATTCGCTGAAGGTGTACTAGTGGAGGATAGGATGACAATGAATTTAGGCCAGTTAGCTCATCGTAGCAATTGACTAGGACACAACCACGATGGTTCTCGGCCCGGGTGGAGGTCAATTTGACAGGGTACATTGCTTAATGAATACTTCATTATTATTATCATGAATACAAATGTTTGTACCAAGTATTTTATACAATGAGGTGAGGAATCGATCTCACGACTATCTGAAGTAGATCACCAGTGGTGTCCTAAACCAATAGACCACCCAGGCCATCTAGGTCATAACTGGTAAATATGACTGTTCTAATATTAAGTATCTCTTTTAGTTTTATACAGCCAAATTAGTCACAGTAAGTCAAATTTCATCAAAATTGCTCAAATCGTTTCGGAGTTTATCCCGGACAAACGTGAGGCGAGATTTATAAACAGGATAAGAGAAAATACGTTTTAAAATCTTCGCTATTATTGTAGCCATAGGTATAGTTTTTTATTTAATATTATTATATATTTTATAGTCGAAAGTGGTCTCCAAGTTGAATACTAGGAGACAACTTGACTATTCGAAGGAATCTTACCTGCAGCGTGAGTTTGGTATTTAGCACTTGCGGAATTCCGTTCTGGAATGTTTCGTCATAATTTCGTAACTGTTACTTGCAGACTACCTAATGAATCACGCATAAAAATACCTATTGCAAAAGTGAAATTTGTTGCGGTGCTGACAAGGTGAGATACTAAATAGACCATGTATGTAAGTAGAAAAAGTGAGAGAGTGAGTTATAGGGATGTTTAAAACAGATAGGTTTAAAACAAAACTATTCTGGACAGCTGTGACCAAGTATCTACAGCAGGAAATTTAAAATCTTTTCATAGTGTATGCTTACATCATATAGTAAATCTATATTAGATAGATCAGTTACGACAAGTCAATACTGGAATTATAAACAGTATCGCCAATCAAAATACCACCGCTGAAAATAAATATAGAGGTCCTAGATTCAGTATTACTCCATGATAGCTGTGATGGAAACGAGTTCCCGGGATATCTATAAGAAAAACCAAAACGAATGTATTTATTAAGTTTTATCACAAAAGCAAACATTGTAATAAAAAGTCATATTTAAATGTAAATTTTTTTTTAAAATATTATTTAATAATATTTCTAAGCACCGAAGCCTGTGCTATCACAATACATACAAACTTTTAAAGCTTGAAACGACGAAAAGAAATCTAAATACTTCTATAATACAACATAATAAATACTAATCAATGAATTATTTTATAATTAGGTATTATAAATATGTTATTCATAAACATTATGAATGACATATTCATAATGTTTTTGTTTGTTACATCTACTAGTTCTTTTTTGACAATTCACACAGCGCCATACAGACCCAACCTAAGGTAGCTAAAGCTTGTGTTTTGGGTACTAGATAACTGATACAAATACATAAATATTTTGTAAATACATACATATAATACATAGAAAACACCCAAACCGATACAAACAGTTATACTCATGTTTATATCCGCGACCATCGGAGGTAAGGCGGTTTGTTAATCCGCTAGACCACTGAGGCCGTCATCTAACTCAGAATAATTGATGAGATTATTTTTACCAGCACTTAAAATTGATCACATGGGTTTGTCCGTATTTACAAGCATTTTTCGCCTTGATCGAGCACCTTGACCGAGTTCGTCGGCATATCCTGACTCAACTACATCATCGGACGCTATTATGAGTCAAATGAAAGCCTGTAGTTACCACTAATATATGTCACTAACTCGATAATGATGTGATACCTGCCCTGTTTTTTTTTATCAAGCCATACTGACGGTGACTGATGATATGGGGTGATATGTATAGAGTTAACTGAAGTATGAACAGCATTAGATACAGATATCCTGTTATCGAGAGGGAACTATTTATTAAAACTTTTGAAATCAATAATTTTGATGTTGGTATTACATATCCTCTCAAGCTGGTGATTATTTAATTTTTATTTAGTATTTTTAATATTTGTTATAATTAGGCCCGATATAATGGGGTTGACATGTTTGATAACAAAAACCCCAATATCAATGTAGATAATAAAAAAAATGTGATGCTCATGTTGCTATCCCGGAGGACAGATGTTGAATCTTTGGGTGCGTAGTATTATTAATATGAAGTCGACTTTATTCCCTATAGGTCTCCCAAAGATTAATTAAGATTTATAGTTATATTGTACAAAAAAAGTAGGTTTCTACCAGGAAATCTTTAGATGAAGTGGAATAATTTGTACCTATAAGTATCTCACTAATGGTGAGAGCGTTCAGTCTAGTGGTTTACTCCGAGTAGATTAGGTCTCTAGTCGACCATAACCCAGGTCGTGGATTCAGAGCTGGACTACACTTATGTGTGTCTATGTTTTTTTTCTTTAACACTCCATTGATGGCAACATTGATAACAGTGGTGGTAGGCTTACCACGTTGATAATGGTTAACCACACTGACGGCTGTCAATGCTCTACAAAACGTAAATACTGTGGTGGGAGTATTTTATTTCTCTGATAATCTGCTATACTATCCAGAGTGTAGTTTTACGTTTGCGTTCGAGTTTTAGTGGTAGTAGCATTCACGCCGCGTTTCGCCACGAGCCAAAGAAAGGCTCGAAGGCTCGCTTTCGATGTTTACGGGGAGAAATCTCAGACCGGTCGCGGTACTCGAAGCAAACCAAGCCAGTGCCGCGCGCCGCGCCGACTTGCCATCACGCGCGTTTTACTACTCGTTCCACCAACTATCAGCGTCGAAACCACAAACATTTGTTGAGGTAGCGTCCTCAATTATCTGAGCTGAAGATACAGTGCCCCACGGAAGTGTTTTTCGACCCGAGTGCAGTGAACCATTGTTATTACCATTTATTGTTCCTAGAAAGTGTTTCTACCTGCTGCAGTTTTTCTATACCGGTATGTTATTTGTAGTTTAGAGCGTATAATAGCGGTATTAGGGACGCATGCCACATCTCGTGCCCATTCAGTCGGGTTAGGATGCCTCTCACTCGTGCCAGCGTTACATCATGATGCATGCTCTAGAACTACCTATAGCACACGTTGTTTACCACAACTTCAAACTTGTTTGAAAATGTTTGAGCTAACGGTAAAATTGATATTGCAATCTTTATTGAGTTGATTTAATATTACATTGAATAAAAATCTTAAATATTTATTTGTATGGTTTGGACAGAGCTGTCATGTGGCCTTTTCTTCCGGAAATCTCCAGCAGCAATTGAAACGTAGAGACCAACTCTAACAAATTTCAATGTTTTCATAAATAATAACAACATTATTGTATATTTTATTCGCGCTTTATTGATTAATCCATGTACCTAATGTTCAAATGTAAGAATTGGGCGCTAGTGGTAGATTTTATTTTACGATACTATACCCTACGATGGTGGCAATCAAGCATACGGCCCATCTGATGACTATTCTGTTACGTTTCATAATCATAAAATTCATCTAGAATTGATCTATTATTGCAAGGTGCCGCGTAGAGGTTGACTTGAAATACCTACTGTATTTTTTTTCTTCTCATTATAATGAGTCTAACATTATTAAAGACCACTTTTTGGAATGGGGTCCTACCATTTTAGACGCAAAGTAAATACACAGTAGGCGAAGCAATCTCTACCATCGTCATTCACTCCTTATTCGTATATAACATTCAAAACATTCATTCTTTAAAAACGGTAACACCCACCCACTATTAATATATATCAAAACAATATATCAAAATGTGTCAAATTATGAAAAAAATAATATTGAATCCTTAAAAGTGTATGTAGGACATCTAAATCAGACAAGTGACAAATGGCATATCATAAACTCATAAAACTGAATACATATTCTTGAAAGTTAAAAAGGAAATAACTAGTAAACAAAATACATGTTTATGCTCAGCTAATTTATTTGTTTGTTCAAAGTATTTTTTTATTTTATGAATTAATAAGAAAACAATGGAAAAAATATATATGTAATATGTTATGTAGAGAAACGCTCTTTTAAATTGGAGATACAATACCTATTTATTCAAATATAACGAAATTCAAAATTAGTAAGTAAATTTTAAAAGTTGCGTTACTATACATTAGCAACGATAATTCTAGCTATAAATAATAAATGTCAAATATTAATTGCTATGAATAATAAATACTCTCTTCTCATTGCTACGCTTTGATAATCGTTATTTTGCCTGAGTAACGAAACTATAACTAACTTTTCAAATTAATTATCTGGCTGATTCTGAGTTTCGTTATTTTGGAAATAGGCATATATTTCGCGTATTATATAACTTATTGCTTGTAAACTTTATTCCATGTGGACGCGTATCATGTCTGAGAGAAAAACAGGTAGAGAGCTATTACTTCTATAATTATTCCAAATTATACGAGCGCGGACACTCACCTCGCTCCGGCTAAGAACATGGATATGGCAATTTATTTGCACTTAAATCTACTTAAATAATATATAAAAATATTCGTTTTATATTATCCTGAAGGAATATAAAAAAATTTTCTAAAGATTTTCATAGATATTTTAATATCGCATCTTATATGTACCACAGGCCGTCAGCTTAGTTAGTTTCCTATATACCTACAATAATAAAACACGTATATAAAAGTACAATGATATTGCAGTTTCATTTAAACAATACTAAAAACTATATATTCTCTAAAAAAAAGTCTTATTATAGGGAATCCCTTTTAATCAAAACTATGTTTTTGTTGATCTATTACCTACTGATTTTACAAAATTCAAGTAATATGTATTATGTACAAAATTATAATATATATTGAAATAACTTATGTCATTCTGAATTCCTATGAATTTCAAATTGTGAAAGAATTTCTTAAATTGATGCAATAGTTTCATAGTTTACTTTCATCATACAACAATGTGAATATGCAGCAAAATGTGAATATTGTCGTTAAACAGAATAAAAAAAAAACATTAATATATAACAACACAAAACAAACAACTTACATCCTACAACAATTTGAGAGAGAAAGATATCAATGCCATGTACTGCTATAAAACGCATCCCCCATGTATCTTAGACAATATAATATGTATGGACATGACGCAGACGTAGCCCTAGAACAATAGAATTCATACATATTAATATGCCAGTGAGACAATCTGGGACACGATATATGTTGTACTTCGGACTTAACATTACACTGTGGACTGTCCGCAAATTTGCATTTAAATGTGTCGAGTGGGCAGTGCAGGCGACACTGATGTCTCTACACGAACTGCACTCCATGTTGAATAACTTGAGCTAGCAAATATCTATATTTTTATTTTATTCGCACATTGCTGATTGTATATGTTTTATTTTATATTGCTCTTGGTTCTGGTTTCACGGTACGAAGAGATTGATATAGTTAATACCATATAAGCCCACAACTTCATTCCCGTTAACTTTTTTGCTAATTAACAAATAGGAATAAAGCATACTAATCTTTAAGAGAATCTGACCTTAACACATTAGTGAAAATCGCACCCAAATAGGTTAGATTGTATACATAGTACCAAATGTATGGGTGTAACTATGTATATGAATAGTGGCTATTATTAAATGCGCAATTCAAAAGAAATAATGAGGTTAATGTTTCAATATAAATAAAAATTTACATTCACAGATCATAAACTGCAAATTATAATGTACCTAGTTGGTATAATTGAAATTCCAATTTTTTATGCGTTCTTCTTAATCACTAAATGTGAAAGATGAAAATAATGCTCGGCTCGAAAGAATATTATATATTCTCTTTAGGTAAATAATACTCATACTTTATTCTTAAAAAAAATTTCCTCTGCGACATATATTGGTAGTAGAGTGATATTATGCCTATGGCCTATTACCTTCCTCGATAACTTTATCCAACACTAAACGTTTTTTTCAATGCGACCTAGAAATTCCTAAGATTAGAGCCGTTACCTAAAAAAATAAAGAAACTCTTCATTTTCTTTTCCTTTTTAATATTAAATAAATAAAAACCCAGGGCAATTCACAGAGAGACACATACCTAGTCGATTTAAAAAAAAAATCTAAGTATGTATTTATATCTGCTGTCTAGTTGTACCCATAACACAAGCTCAGCTTACCGTGAGACTAGATGGCTCTGTGTTAATTGTCCAAGGTTATTTATTATATACATAGAAAACACTCAGACTAATAAAAACTGAAAACTGACATTAATGTTTATATATATAGGTTTACATTATATGAGAATCGAACCCGCGCCCATGGGAGTGTAAGGATGATAAACCGCTAGACTTCCAAGGTCGCCCAATGTGATTTTATTGTATAGATAAACTATAAATCCCCGTTTGCTCTATAACGATTGTGAGAAAATACCACAAGCTGTAAGCTTTACCACTTTAAAAAGTTCCATTCAAGATTTTCTATTATTGTAGCGTTTTCAGTATTTTGACAAAGAATGTAACCAGTTTATCTGGAAATAACTCGTTATCTCCAAGTATTAAGATACTCATAATTTCATTCTAGAAACCGGACTTGAATTAAGTTATTTAAAATAAAATTACTTGTAATAAAAGATAAATATTGTGACTAAATCCGCTTAGTTTTGACGTGACACGATCTTGCAAAAAGCGTCAAATCAAATATTAAATAATATTTGTCACTACTTGTCATGTATATATATAGACTATAGAAATTCACATTCGATTAAGAGCCATCTTATTCATAAATTGCTAGTATTTGTAGATTAGTCTGCTCTGAATACTACGTATAACTGATTTATATTGTTATTATACTAATTGTTTAGGTACGAAAATCTGTCATAGTGTTCAGAACATACATTCTACAGAGCACACTAAAATACAATTCAGCACTAAAAGAATTTTCAAAATCGGATCAATACTACCGGTCCCAGAATATGTAAACTATAATATTATAAATATATAATATTATGAAAAGGATGTTAGGGGTAATCCTGTACTACTCTGATTATGTTATTAATTATTTTGTGTTGGATTTAAAAACGAGGAAATTGTGCCGCAGTCGATGTTGCGCAGGTTAGCTTACATAGTTAGTTTTACATTTTGAGACTTATGCTTAGGTATATGCTATATTTAGTCAATAACTTGAACATATAAAATTGTACAATTGTTTGAAAATACTAACAGTTTTTTTGCCTAAACTTTTGGCTTTATGTTCAATCCGAATAAGGCGTTAGAATCGAAAATTGGCAATTTTTAAGCGATTATCTTAAGGCGACGCATTGCAAATATTGACCTCAGATACCTTAACTTTTCTCAGCAATTACAAATCATTCGGGGCTGATATTTAGGTATTTCATTTTTCAGATCTTTGACATCATATTGACAGTTCTCGTTACATGATTGATTAACTTTTGTAGCAGAGAAAAAAATCTCAAAGATTGGTCTTATAAAATATATGTTTGATTCGTATAAGAAAACGGGACTGATTTAAGACTCGAATTTTCCAATATACACTATACTAAATACCCACATAAATAGTACAATTCAGATGTATATAATAACCAATAGTTTTTACTTTAAACAAGATAAACTGTTTTTCCGCATAAAAATCTCTTGCTCACAAGTTGTTTTGTATGAGAGTTAGAGCAAGTCAGTCAGTCCCCGGCCCCTGCCAACGTCGGACCTGTGCTTAGCGCGGATAGCTCGCCTGAGAACGCGCGCTATCAAATCGTAAATTATTTCGTCATACACCCGCACCATATTATAGCGTACGCTATAATATGGTGCGGGTGACAGTTACTTATTTTACATTTAACAATTACTGTATTTAAGTTAATACAGTTAGTAATGATTTATCGTACATATTACGAATGTAATACTAAGTCATAATTTGTAAAGTAGTGACAATTAATTGTTAAAAATTATAAAAAACTTTT